TTAGCAATTGAAATTGGCTAGTATGAATTAAGGTATATTTCAAGTGTGATATGCACATTGGACTTTTGTCTTAATATCAAGAATGCAAAGCACCTCAATAATTTGTACAGTTGCATGTTGACATGAGAATATTTGGAACAAATTGTGCTAGATAACATATTATCAAAGTTAATTGCACTTGTTCTTAATTTTTTAAAATGTGGCTACTAGAGCATTTTCAATTACATTCGTGACTAGAGTTACTCAAGGGCATTCCCAAATTTTCATGGAAAACTGAATTAAAAGATGAGTCTATTTTAATGCCAAAATGCTTTTGAAATCCATACATAGTTTTTTATAATGATTTTCTGTGAACTTTTAGAAACACTTTTTGTTTCTGATTTTAGACAGTAATGATCTAGAGTCCAGAGTATATGCTACCTACAATGAGGGTTTAAAATTTTCTCAAATTCTCCTTTCCATTACCCAAAAATATCTTTTGGTATTTCTTCCTTTCTTCCTTCCTTCCTTCCTTCCTTCCTTCCTTCCTTCCTTCCTTCCTCCCTCCCTCCCTCCCTCCCTCCTTCCCTCCCTCCTTCCCTCCCTTCCCTCCTTCCTCCCTCCCTCCCTCCCTTCCTTCCTTCTTTTTCAAATGCAGGGCATTGTCTTAAGTTGGAATCAAGTTAACAGAATCTTCCCTGCTGGGAAGTGCTTCTTCTGTTCAGTGGACAAAATACAGCTTTTTAAGAAAGTCTAATTAAGTCAAACTTCTAAAAAGCCTCTCTCAGGGGATTTCAGTGTCCTGACATTTGTCTGCACATGCAGCTACTGCCTTCTATTAAATGGAAACGATCTTTTTAGGGCAGGGGCTATTGCTTGACTTCTCTTATTTTCCCCCACTGCACCTAGTGCAGCATTACTGTGTTTGAAAGTTATTAGCCACCCAGCTGACTGTGGTTCCTGTTGTTAGCAGCTGGTAGTTGGTAAGGGACTGAATTTTCTCTCAGTTACTATCTAAAGCCCTACATCTCTGATTCATTTAAATCATTCTCACCACCCGAAGGACGACAATGCACCATTTCAATTTGTGTATCTCAAATGCCAATACAAACTAAGAAAATACCTAGCTTTATGTTTGATTTGGATTTATTTCTTCCATTAGGAGTCTTGCAATGGGCAAATGGCAGTGGGGTAGTGATGGTGCTGCTGGTGGTAGTGGTTGTAGGGGTTGTGAGAGAACCAGTTTAAAAGAATAGAACAAACAAATGGATAGATTCCATGTCCACTATACCTGACTCTTATTAACATGTAAGAAATGTTGTACTTGGACAGAGTCCAACAAAGCATCTAATAATAACCTTGGACAGAATTCCAGTTGACCACAGTAAATACCCAGGGAAGCTCCTGTTTGTTTTCACCAATACAGCACATTAAGAACAGCTCATTTTTAAATTGTTTCTCTGAGGGACTAAATAATGGTGACACTAGTAAGGGAAGCCACTGAGATCTCTGGAAACCCAGTTATCTTTTGATATACTAGTGAGCTAGTGTCTTACCTCCCCACCAACATAAGGCACCATATGCAAGACAGCAGTCTCTTGGCACTGCTCCACTTTGAAGCCAGTCCTGAAATGACTGATGCTACTGTGGCCCATGGAGCCACCCCTTTCTTATTTCCAAGACCTTGTCAGTTGATCCAGGCTGCATCCATCTTCATGGAAAAGCCTTTACAGGCTAGAACTACAACCTGCCTCTGATAGCAGAATGTACCTCTAAAAGAACTTGATCAAAGTCATTCACCAAATCCTCAAGCAGACAACTTTTAGGGTAGCTGCAGACTTCTTAAAATGGGGTTAGGGAGCACTGATGGACCTTGACCGTGTGTCTAGGCATAATCTACTGGGGTATGTGTATGTACAGGGGGAGAGGAGGGCGGGGGTTTTGAGGACATATTCTTTCCCGTGAAGGGTCCTCATCTATCAGTGTTTAGATTACCAAGAAGGGCTGTTACATCACATCATGCAAGGTCACTCAGACTCTATTCTTGACAGTCAAGCCTGTGAGTCACCTTGCATCATGTTTAAGCAGGAAAATAGTTAAGAATAAGAAAAGAAGCTGAGGATTAAATATAAGCATAACAATGGCAAGGAATTCTCAGAAAATGTTCAAACTAGAACAACGTGAACAAGTGGTCAGGGTAACAAGATTGATTTTACTCCTGAAATACTGGCTTTATTATAAAACTGACATAATGTTTTGTTGTTTCTTCTCTATTTCTTTGTTAGCACTACTTTATTCTGTTTGTTCCTTTCCCTTATTATTTTTTCCCTCCACTGAAGAATAACATAAAACTTTCCCCTTGGAACATAATGCAATCACTCCTTTGATATTAACTAACTACTTACAGGAATCTAGAAGATTGCTTTCAAGTCCTATGTGTCAGATAAGCCAGCTTCCCCTTTGTGTCAGTAACCAGGAGGAGGAGCTTTTCATTTGTTATCAGGTCCATGGCAACTTGGCATGCACTTTCCAAAGTTACTTAAGCAGTTTAGTAGCTGCATTCAATGATGAGTGTGACATGAGTGATCCACGTGTATCACTCAAACTACAGGATCAACTGGAGTGATGAAAAATCACAAAAAGATGGTAGTTGATGTGGCACCGTGGGTTAAGCTGCTGATTGCAATACCAGTATCCCACATAAGCGTAGGTTCAAGTCCTAGCTGCCCTACTCCCTATCCAGTTCACTGCCAATGTGCCTGGTGAAGCAGCAATAGATGGCCCAGGTGCTTAGGCCCTTGCCATCCATGTGGGAGACTCCAGTGCAGTTCCAGGCTCCAGCTTCAGCCTGGCCCAGTCACAGTTGTTACATCCATATGGAGAGTAATTCAGCATATAAAGATGTCTGTGCACGTGTGTGAGTATGTGAAACTTTGTGTTTCAATAAATAAATGATTTTTTTATAAATTACAAGAAGGAATACTAATTTCCTATTTTCACTTGCCACTCTATCAACAAACTTTGCAATTAAACAGTTAATATTTGCCTTAGTGATTACGGGGAAATCATCAAGAAAATTGGGCTATGAAGCATAAATCTCAATTATAACCCCACAATGACTCAAGTTTGCTAATACGAGAAAAGGTGCTTTAAAAACTGTGATTTTAAAAAAGTCGTGCATTGATTGCAAGTTTCTACTCAACATAGTCAGTTTTCAGTAATTTATAGTAATGATGGACACTATTAGAAAATGTTATCAATGATCAAAATATATCACTTCAACAATTTATCTTCTATACATTTCTATTATGCCTGTGCACATGTTTGATACACACTTCTAGTGTATGTGCTGCCGATGCAAGCACATGTGTATGATACACACTTTAAAGCAAAACCACCAAAAGGATGGGAAAAGGAGGGAACAAATTTCACTTTAAAAGTATGTTGTAGAGGAAAGATCAAAGCAGAAAGCAAAGTTGAACTTCCTCCCCTCAATTTCCTCTACCCACCTTTGGAAGACAGCAGCCAGCAGCAAGCCAGCAGCAGAACAACGAAGATGAGAAGGAAAAGGAAAGTAGACACAAGAAATGGAAATAATCCACACTGAAGCCTTGCCCTTGACGTAAGAAGACACGTGATGCACATTTCAACACTGAGTTCACATGCAGAGGAAAATATTGAGTGACCTTGTAACACACTTTGGGTGATGCATTTTGTTTTCGGTGTCAAAGCATGAATTGTTTAGTGTTTCAAAGGAATCTCTTAGAGATAAACTTTTTGGGATGGCTTGTATTCCCCAGGAAAAGAGACACCACATTGTGTAAGTCCTTCAGGAAGCAACCACAGTCCTAGAGAGCAGTCTTTAAACTGTAAAAGCCCGCAGGTCTCTAACAGAACTCTTGGTTTTTGTGCTTTTTAGGAAGTTGTCCAAAGCCTGTTTTTGAACCCTGTTAACCCCTCATTAAGAAGTAACATTTCCATGGCGAATTGTCCTTAGAATTTGTGAGCTCTCACTTTAGAGACGGACACAAAATACTACATGACAAAATTGTAAAAAACCTTTTCCCAGGATCAAATTCTAGAGCCAATCAAAATATTGCGCTTTTTAAATTGGAGAAAATTGATAAGGGGTAGCTCTAACTAGTGTGTCTCTAGGATATGGGGGATCAAAAAGAAGTCTCCCAAGTTCCACAAGACTTCAGACCACGGTGTACCCCACTGCTCATTTGATGCTTTTGACACATGTTAAGGTGATTGAGGACAAGCTTCCGCATCCACCTAAGGGGTCATGACCGGTGGTGGAGAGACTGATCCAATCTGGTATACCAGCTAATGAAACGGAAGGAAGTGCTGAGTGGCCCATTTCAACACTTTCGCTATTAAAGGCATGCAGCCCCTTGCCAAATAGTTGCGGCTTCCGTTTTTAAATTTGCATCCCCACTCCCCAAAGAAACCCTTAGGGCACACTCGGGAAATTGTTACAATTTCTCTTAAACACACACTATTTCTAAAAACATCATCGAGGGACATTTATTTATTTCCTTAGAAAATCTCAGATGAATGGGCAAGTTTTGCTTCCATTTCTCCAAAATGGACAAATAGGCACGGAAATCAGTTGAGGAGCAAGTCATTCCTGAGCTCCATACGTGACTTAACCAGGAACTAGTTCCCGGCATTGCCAGGAGGACAGCATTTCCACATTATACCGTAGGATTTTTACCTTCAGGGGAAGAATACACCTGAAAGGAAAGAGGTCACCCCCCTCCTCCCGAAGCACAAACACACGGCACAGCCCATGCAGTCTGCTTCCTACCCGACCAAAACAATAATGCTTTGTAAGCTGAGAGCAGCGCCCCGGTATAGAAGCTAAGTATAAACAGCTGAAAAGGATTAGGCAGTAGCTCCATTCTCATTTACATGAAAATCCCTCCGAGCATCATTTGCCTAGCTGGCTGCGGGCGCAGAAGGAACTCATTTGTGCCATAGCCACGCATATCCTTGCATCTTTTGTCTTTACTTACCAGTCGAGGCTGTGGGCATGTGTGCTCTATTTCCTCCATGGTTTCTGAGGGAGGCTCATTAGAAGGGGATTTTGGGATACCTGTTTCTGACTCAGCATCAGTGCTAAGTACTGGCATGGCCAGCGAATGCTCCCTCCAGCTCTATACTCTCTCTGAGTCTCCTCCCAGAGAATGTTTTCTTTGTCACGTATTTTTCTCGCCCCTACCCATCCCCCTTCTTCTCCCCTTCTTTCTGTCTTCCCTGGGGGAGGTAAGAGGTTACCCACCCACCCACCCCCTGCCGCCCGGTTCTTTCTCCCGGGAGCTCAGAGGCAAGGCCTCAGTTTATCACTATAACAACCAGACGGCACTGGAGCCGCGGGTGCGGGATACAGTAGCCTCATTTGCATGGAACGCGCTGGTTGGCTACTGTCATCATAGTACCACTCCGCCGGCGAGAGACCCGGCCCCATTGGCTGGCCGACCGTACACACAAGGCGAGAACTTGCTGCTTTGTTTCTTTTATTTTATTCTGTTACAAAGGTCTTGGGCTGTTCTGGGCAAGGGACCCAGGCTGCACTACCCAGATAAGATAAAACTGCTTCCTGAGGAGCTCAGGATGTCTTCAGAAAGAACACTGCAACCTCCACTAAAAAAGGGGGGGGACCAAGTCCCTGGCAGGAGCCTGTGATGTGTTGTAGTCAGAATACTTGCCAAATAGGAGTCACACTGAAGATAAAGCCACTTTTTGAATCCAAACTCCCTGTGCCAGTTGCTACCTGACCTCCAAGAGTCACTCAGGGTCTAAGCACCTGCAGTTCATCTGCTGAACTGCAAGCAACACTTAACTCTGCCAAGTCCCCTGAGGCCTGGCTGTAGCCCTGCAGCCTACCTCTGGGGCTGCCCTAGGAAACCTTGGGAGGAAGTAGATTATTTTCTACAGCTTGCCTCCCACCCATGGCTGTGCAGCTTCTTGCTTCCCCCCCCCCCCCTGCCCGCCCCCAGCGACTTCTCCCACTCGCCAGCCATTGGGAGTTTCCACAAGGAAGCCTTTGCCCATTGGCTGCCCTTGTGTTGCCTGTGCTGGCCAGGTAGCCCTCTGCTCTCATTTTTACTGCTCTTGGATGTCCTTTCCTTTTTTATATGATTTATTTTTGTTGGAAAGTCAGATTTACAGAGAAGGAAGATCTTCCATCCACTGGTTCACTCCCCACGTGGCCATAACAGCCAGTGGAAGTGGAGCAGCTAGGATACAAACCGGTGCCCACATGGGATTCCAACTCATGCAAGGCGAGGACTTTAGCCGCTAGGCTACTGCGCCGAGCCTGGGTGTCCTTGCTGATCACACAGCTCTCAGCCAAATTCTCATGGCAATTAGAGAAACATTGCAGAAACAGTATAAAGCATGATGTGCTTTAATGTTGAAACTGTCGAGGGACATGCACATTTTAAGAGGACAACTCTGAGGGAAAGAAGGAGTGCAGTTTCACCATTTTTTTAAAAAAATAAAGATTTATTTATTTTAACTTGGAAATTTACAGAGAGGGAAAGGTCTTCCATCTGCTGGTTCACTCCCCAAATGGCTGCAATGCCCAGAGCTGACCTGTTCTGATCTGAAGCCAGGAGCCTCTTTCAGGTCTCCCATGTGGGTACAGGGGTGTGAGAACCTGGACCAGATGCCATTATCTTCTGAGTCCATAAGCCGAGAGCTGGATTGGAAGTTGAGAAGCTGGGATACAAACTGGCACCCGTATGGGATCCCGGCACTTGCAGGTGGAGGATTAGTGACATTTGAAGGGCTAAGGGAAATGTGGCAGGGACCAGGGGTGCAGCAGGTGCAATGGCAAAAGACACCAACAGAAGTGCTCTGAACAGAAGTCCTTGGGATTCTAAATCTTTGCTTTTTATCTATAGCCATAGTGCTAGTAGCACTAACATAAGCATTGCCTGGGAATTTGTGAGAAGCAAATTGTTGGAGCAAGCATTTGGGATAATGATTAACCTTCTGATTTGGATACCTGAGGCCCCATGTCTGGGTGTCTGGTTAGAGTCCTGGCTGCTCTGCTTCCAATCTGTCTTCCTACCGACACACGCCTTGGAAGACAGCAAATGACGGCTCAGGTACTTATCCCTATAACCCATGTGGGAGAACTAGGTTGAGTTCCTGCCTTCCAGCTTCAGCCGGACTCGGCCCCAGCTTCTGTGTTTTAGCAGTGAACCACCAAGTGCAAGATCAATCTCAACACCTTTCAAATAAAAGAGGGAATAAGAAAATAAATAAAAAGAAATGAGAATTGTTCGCTGTACACTGGACTGCAGAGCTGATTCTGTAGGTCGGGGAGTAGGATGGGAATGGAATTTGCACTTTTAATGAATACCTCCCCTGATGCTAATGCTGCAGATGTGTGCACTACACTTTCAGAACCAGTAGTGCAAAGGATGGGCACAAAATACTGTCTTCCTTCCTCATAAGATTGTGGCAGATCAAGTGAAGTATCATGTGGACATACTTTAGAATGCTAGCCTAAGAAGACAGTTTTTATTGCTTCTCACATAGGCAGAAGGCTACCCCTAAAGACAAACAAATAGAAACAAAGCAAAACAAAACCAGAAGAGGATTCTGCAGCGGAGATCCGCACAGTTTGAGTTACAGAATCTGCTATGTTATGATGACATCACTTGACAGTATTCTACATATGCCCAAGACACCAGTGATGCAAGAATTCTAGTTCCTTCTTGTCCTGTGTGGCAACCTGTAAGCATGAAACAACTCAAGCTGCACATACAGCTTGACCAAGGCCATGAGTCTGGAAGAGTGAAGGTCTGCATTGTGGATAATTCCCCTTGTCCAACCATGCTGCGTGATGTGAGAGTGAGATTCTTTTTTTGTTTATGAAATTATTCATTTATTTGAAAGGTAAAAATGAGGGAAAGACAGAAAGAGGGAGTGGGAGAGGGAGACAGAATGACCTCCCTTCTGCTAGTTCACTCCCACAAACCCCCAAATACTTGCAATGGCCAGCCCAGAACCAGAATGCTGAGCCTAAATCCAAGATCTGGGAGTTCCATCCAGTTCTCCCATGTGATGGTGGGAACCCAGTTTCCACCCTAAGTGTGCATATTAGCAGGATGTTGAAGTCAGGAACTGGCTCTGAGAATCCAATCCAGGTATTCTAATATGAATCCCAGGTACCTTAACTGGCGTCTGTAACTGCTGGGCTGAACACCTGCTCCCAATTGTGCTTTTACTCTCAATGTGTTATTACTATTGTTTTTAATAAAAGAGGAATTCCTTTTAATCTGTCTCTTCTAAAAATACGTTTTCCTTTACTTTTCCAGTATTTAAAATGCTTCTGGAAATTTTGTTTAAAAATCATATATAAAGGTTAGCACCAGCCCACTGTAAATTTTACATTATTTACCAACAGTTTGCATGCCACTACAGGTATAATACTGCTCTGTTTATCAAGTGGGCCACATGTAAAATCTTCACTCCAAAATTGTCCCTAGTGTCATTACTCCTGATGCCACTATTTCCTTCCACATTTGCTTTTCTATTCATTCTCCCCCTCACCTCTTTAGATCTAACAAAAACAGAATTTGTTGTAAAATACACATAAGAAGATGGAAAACAGAAAGTAGACATAAAATTTTAAGATTTCCTGAGATGGTTATTATTTTCAGTGACATTTTATTACCTTTATGTCTCTGCTTTAGTTCCCCAGATGTCTACATGCGCCTGCATGTTTGGACCTAAAACCTGGTGAGACTCAAGAATACTAGATCTAATCTGGCGTTCTCAGTAAAACACCATGATCTACTATATGCAGTAATAAAACCCAGGCATAAATGTTATCTACCATCCCCTCAGAACACTTATGGCAATAAAAACCATTTTTCAGTAGAAAGCATTTCACCCTTCTTGTGGTACTTTTTACACATTAGATTATATTATAGTAGCACTCTGAGATTGAAATAATAATCAAAAGTTTCAATTGAATAAATAAGATTCACGGGCCTGGCGGCATACCCTAGCGGCTAAAGTCCTCGCCTTGAATGCACTGGGATCCCATATGGGCGCCGGTTCTAATCCCGGCAGCTCCACTTCCCATCCACTCCCTGCTTGTGGCCTGGGAAAGCAGTTGAGGATGGCCCAATGCTTTGGGACCCTGCACCCATGTGGGAGACCTGGAGGAGGTTCATGGCACTGGCTGTTGCACTCACTTGGAGAGTGACTCATTGGATGGAAGATCTTCCTCTCTCTCTCTCCTCCTCTCTGTATATCTGACTTTGTAATAAAAATAAATCTTAAAAAACAGTAAGATTCAGAGAGGGTTGGTGACTTCACCAATGTCATAGAGTAAGTGGTAGAAGTATCACTTGAATCCAGATCATTTGAACTGAAGGGAAATTCACTTTTCCATCAAGCCGTGCTGCCTCATTGTTTGATATAATTATATTTGCTTCTTAGCAAAGTTGTTGTATAATTCATGCACATCTCATCCAACACAACCCCTTCATCTATTGTCTATTAAATTCATGTAACATAAGGCATCTTTCACTTTTATTCGTTTAGTTCATTGCATATCATGTCTGTACAACTGTGATGTTTGGATTTACATAGGATAAAAGACGAACACAGATATACATAACTTCCCAATGGATAGAGATCAGGGCTGAGAAAGGGCCAAAACCTAGAAAGGCCCTTAGGGGAAAGATAATGGCAACATCAAAAGTAGCATTTCAAAACTTGCATTTTGCAAATTAGGAAAAAAAACCCAAGATGATAGAATGAAAGTGCTTTGTCTGATTCTTAAGATGGATTTTCTTCTCCACATAGTATAGTAACTATAAGGGAATTTACCTTCATTCATCGTTTTTACCAAAAATCTTGATTCTATGCAGTCTTCAGGTGCTGTGGAACAATTGCATAGATAACATGACATAAATAAAAATGTGGCTAATGAAATGTCATCTTACATCTTATATTTAAATAATTATTTCACATAAGTTGAAACAGAACACTAAGCAGTCTAAGCTACTGTGCTGTCATGGTTACACCTATGTTTGAAAAGGTCCTAAAAGAGATATGTTTTTGTCAAAATGATAGGTGCCTAAATGCTGATAAAATCCATTTTGAAAATATTTTATTTTGCTGCAGCAAACCAGATATAATGGCAGGGTTTTTTTTTTTTTCATAAGTTAATGTTGCCCTTAAGCAGAATAAATCATTCCTGTTAGCATTAGCAGCTGTGGAATCAGTCGGTAAAGAATTATTATTGCTATTACCTGGTGTTATTTATAAACAGTTATTTTCTAAGTGCTTTACAATCATTTGTTTTCTAATATTTAATCATCTGCTA